TGCGGCCCGCCCCGCTGCCGCCCTGCCGCCATGCTTCCCCTTGCCTTTGCCCTTGAACGCGAGCTCGCGGAAGCGGTCGAGCAGGAGCTGGAACTCCTCGGGGTCGTTCGGGATATCGTCCCGCGTCAGGGTCAGGCCGAAGCTCGGGCCCAGGCCGCGAGCTCATCACGGAGCGCCTCGGCTCTCTCCATGGTGTAGTCCTCGTTCTCGTCGCTCTTGCCCAAGTCCTTGTCCTTGTCCTTGCCCTTGCTCCGACCTGTACTGTTCGGCGGGCGGCCCCGCTGCGCGGGCAGCTCGTCCGCCCAGGCGTCGTCCAGCATCATGGGCTCGGCCGACGCTGCTGCCCCCTCCGCCGCGTCGTCCACCATCAAACCCTCCTCGACCGTCTCCGTCTTGCTCCCATCGCCCGCCCTCGCACCACGCCCGCGCGGGCGGCGCCGCCGCCGAGGGGCAGCGGGGGGCGCATCCGCCGCCGGCTGTGGCGGGGCGGGCGCGCGGGGCGTCGCCAGCACGGCGACCGCCGTCCGGAGAAGGCCCTCGGCGGCGCGGATGAGGCGCACCGCCTCCCGCTGGCCGCCCGCCAGCCCAGCAGCCGCGTGCGTCGCCAGGACCGCGCCGCGCGCGGCCTCCAGCATCGCCCTCGCGGCGCGGGCGCCCTGCGCACCCTGCATCGGCCGGACGGCGGGCCGACGGTCCCGCGGCGGCTGACTTGAGCAAAGATGGTACTGGAGGAGGAGGAGGAGGAGGAGGAGGGATAGGGATAGAGATAGCACCATGACGATGTCAATGAGAGAGAGCACCTACCCCCCAGGCTTCCGCCGCGCAGCCCGTTCGGCTGCGCTTAAAGGCTTGGGGACAACACCTCGATGAAATCGGTCCAGGTAGGACCGCCTCGTATCATTGAGGGAACCAGAACCAAGACACTCTTGCCTGAGCCCCGCTTGTAGGTTGGCGTAAAAGAAAAACCTGCAAGCCCCACAGATCCAGACCCGAGTGACTGGTGAAACAACTTATGAGATTCATGAGCCCACCCCCCAGCTAAGTGCAGCTTCCTTCGTGGCCGTCTGGAGACTACAGAGTCGACGTGCTCAAGGGGTTCACAAGGGGAGCCTAACCACTCGTGGAGGGTGGCCTTCGTGCCACTGCTGCGGCACGTGGTACACTTCAAACCGCAATCACTAATCGTGTGTGCAGTCTTAAACCTGGCCAGGACCGCGGGGGAGGGTGGCGGCGGAGCAGGGTCCGACGGGGCACGACCGCCAGGCTCGGGCGAAGAAATCTTCGCTTCCTCGCGCTCGGAAGCCGTGGCCTCGAGGGTGGCCCTGAGGAGCCTCCGCCTAATCGAAGCAGCACGCCCCTCCACCTCGGCGATCCTGGAAAGAACACTACTTGGCAACCTACACCCCCCTGCGGCTCCTGAAGCGATGGCGTCAGCCACTTCATTACCTCGAAGGAGCCACTCAGGGGTTTGTTTCTCGCAAGCATCCTTGGCAGTCTGGTGGGAGTTGACGTGCAGCACGACGATCTCGCTGGGGTCCCTGTGCTTAACCAGGACCCCGATCTCCGCCCACAGCTCACTCCTCTCACTCCTGCCAGGGTTCAGGTACTGCTGGGCGTACCATCCACGAACCACATTCTCGTTGTCAGAAATGTACACTGTCGGGCCTGCTGACCATCTGATGGTAAGCTCCAAGCACCGCAGCTCTCCCCGCGGTACTGATTGAGTTCGTCCTGTGAGCGGTCCTGCTATCTTGGGCCCGATGGTCATGGTGATCGGGTCGGTCATCACTGCCAAGCCGAGGCCGACTCTCCTCGACGTTGGAAACCGACTGTCTGGACCACCTGACGCATCACCGAACACGAGCAAAGGTTGGGACAGCGAACCAATCCCTAGACACTCAGCTCCGATCTCGCCTTGGAACAGGTCCACGCATGTCCATTCTTCTTGCATGGGTGCAGCTGGTGCAGCCGTCATATGCCGTGGGGTCAAGCCTCGATGCCACAGGCACGCCTCACTGTCACCTTGCGTCAGAGCGGCTGGCACCAGCTTATATGAGTCAGCATGCGCCTTGGAATCTTTGTTGGCACTGCACTGCCATGCGCGGTGCCTCATGTCCTCTGGCGCCTGCTTGCATCGCAGGCACATATTGGACTTGCTGATCCCCACCTCGAATTTCCTTGGGCGTGTCCAACAACCCCCAGTACTGATCGTCAGCATGAGCTCCGCCAGTTGATGCCCATGTGGGCCTGCACGGAGCCTGGAAAGCAAACGCCGAAGGGAATTGTTGTCTGCTCCTTGCTCCAGACCAGCCCCGTGATGCAACAAAGCTGCCTCTCGCCACTGCTGGAGGTCCAAGCTCTGCCCGAAGTCGTGCAACAAGTCGGTCGTGTCAACATGCTGCTGGTCGATGCCGCTGTCGGGGAAAATCCAATCAACTGGTTCTTGCCCAAACTCGTCAGGTCGGCACCAATGTGATGGGGACTTGGGGTCCCATCCTGCATTCACCAAATACGTGGCGATTGCCGAAATTGGCCCGTGAATATACCTGCTTCGCTCATTGATATCCAGATCACGCACATGCTGCACAACACCATTCCACACTCGTCGAACACCTGCTCGAATGTGAGAGTAGTCGATCCAAGCCCGTGGCCATTGATTCATACATAGCTGCGGTAACCGTACTCCAGGGTCCTGGAGCGGGGCGCGGGCATCGAGTAGCGTCTTCAGACACCTTCCTCTCTGATGCGCCCCTGATACCGACCCGAGTTGCCTCCGCAGCCGCTGCAGACGCCAACCGCATGTGCCATGAACATGATGGGCGTATGTCGCAGCAGCTTGCGGTCCCGCAAACTCGATCTTCTTCGTCGTCTCGTAGCACTTAGAAGGAAAGGCATGGCGTCTTAGCTTCTTGTTGCAGGCTGTAGCTTTGAGTGCGCGACCCTGCCGAGAAGACCGTGCTACTCTGCGTCCGCCTCCCAAATCAACTCTGAGATAACTCACCTGCAACACTGCTTGGATATATATATATATATTTGTATATATTCCTTTTCTCCGCAGAACTTTGGAAATGTGCTTGCTGTCGTTCATCGCGTCGCACAAGATCACGCTCTTGGGCGCCAGCTGGATGCCAGCTCCTACAACCTGATCTCGAACCATAACGACCCCTGAAATGATAGACTTGCGCACAGCAGCCCGGGATCCTTTATGTCCAATATACAAATCACCCATCCATATACGCTGGGTAGAAGCAACTCTGGCCGTGCACAGTCTGTCCAAGATGAAGTGAGTGAGGCACCCCCCGAATCTCACTCCATCCCCCAATCCTTGGATGATGCTCCTGGTGGGCTGGAAGGGTGTAGCGCGTGCCCCACATTGCGCCAAGATTCTGGGCGCCATGCAAAGTTGAACTTCTAACAGCAACAATACCAGGGAACCCCAATCGAATAGCCGCGTCGGACAGCTTGCCCCACCTGATCAGATCATGAAATGGTTTGAGATCTAATAAAGCACAACCATTGGATACACCAGGTTTGACACACAACTCTTGGTCGACTGCCTTCAAGAACGCCTCCTGCAACGCCGAATTGCCAGCAGCTGCAGCATCCCACTCCGCGGCCGTGTCGTACGACCAGCGCTTGAGGTGAGGCTCCCGAATGAGGTATACAAACGACAAACTATCGACATCAAACCCATGATTCGGTCCCCATCTGCCTTCTTGGGTAGGAGCCGCCCCAAAGCACACAACAATTGGGTCGGCCATGTACCCGTATCGTCCACCAGGTTGAGGATACCGGCGAGTGCTTCGTGACCTTCGGACGGTAACCTTTGAATATCCAATAGCGTCAGTTGGTCAACTCCAAGCCCTGTTCTAGCTTTCATGCGTGCAGCCGCAGATCTGACCTCGTCGCCGTCGATAGGAGCTAGCCCCTGTATGCGAGCCCACTCCCTCATGTTGGCGAACGCGGCGCAGATCTCGTCGATGCTGAAATCGGGGTCGTACCAAAACTCATGCCATCGATCGCACCTTCCGGATGAAAGAGAAAACTACCATTGTGAAATAACTCGTCTTGAACTGTCGGCAAGTCCTTGATGCTCTAGTGTAGCACTCCAGACGCTTCTGCCGACGAAATCCATTCTTTGAGCTCTGAAAGGGAGTGTCGAAGAGCTCTACTAGCAGCACGCTCCGCACCGCGCTGTGCTACCTGCAAGAAGCTGTCCAAGCTTCTCCCAAGAAAAAAGAAGTTGCTGCATAAGAAGGTCACCCAGTGCTCCCAGTCCTCGCAATCGTTGGGCGGGAGAGCTGCATGAGTTCCCTCAGGGTAGTCGGTACCGAGCCTGTTGCCAAGCTCACGGAGGTAAATCAGCTGGCGTGCTCCAGTACCTCGCTCCCGATGTCTCGTAACTTTCACCAAAACCTGAACTACTCGCGACCACCAGTTGGCCACCTTGTCTTGCAAGGGAGCCTCGCGGAAGGTGGCCGTCTGCTGAACCTGCTGCTCGCGAAGATGCGGGTCCGCAGCACGTGACACTGAACTAGGAGGTAAACCGTGATGGCTGGATATCGTGGCTTCCAAGGTTGAAACCCATCCTGCATACAGCGCCGACGCGTGATGCACATGCGGTCCTGCAACTCGCATCGCCAGCGAATCATGAATGGGAGACCAATGTGTGTAAACTTCATTGCTTTGGGATGGAATGAAACCGGGCCCAATGCGAGTTTGAGCCAAAACCCAACAGTCCGAGGACACTTGGAACTCAGGGTTCCTGGGCGACGATGCAACAGCACCAGGCTCCATGTTTTCGGAGGCATCCCCTACCTGAACATTAGGGCCGCTCAAACTGCTGCAGCTGGGGGGCTCTGAAAGGGGCTCCTGGGCAAACTCGTCGCTCATGTTGGGCGGACCTGGGTCGGCTGCGGTCATAGACGAATTGGGAGACGCTCTGAGGGAACTATCACCGAATTCGAAGGATGAGCTAGCGGGTACCGAGGAACTACGGGCGGAGCTAGAGGCTCCAGAGGCTTCGACGGCCCCCCGAACCTCTCTCAAACGCCGGCTTGAAACAGGTTTCCTCGGCCCACGGGCTCTCTCCCCCCTCGCCTTCGACGGGGGCAAAGGCTTCAAAAACAACGGGCTCAGGGAATTTGTCGCGCTCACCGCCCCCACCGAGGTCCTGAAACAGATCACCAAAAAGCTCGAGCGATTCGTCGACAAGTTTTCCCCTGGCCAGGGCAGCTCGGACTGAGCGATCAGCTTTCGTCCTACTGCTCTTGGGGCCTGGTGTCGGCACCGTGCCTGGCCGACTCACCTGTGGGAGCTTGCTTGCAACAGTGAGCGATCGTGTCAAGAGCTGCTGGCAACTGTGTCTCAACTTCAGACGTAGCCCACAGCGCGGCCCCCAGGGGACATTGTGATCAGCGCGTAAGTCGACGATGAAACTCTCCGCTCCTGGGCCTGCGATGAGGTAGTCGATATGTGATGCACCCTTGGCCGTCGTACAAGTGAACTCTGCCTCCGACCGTCGACTCCTTCCATGGACCATTGAGAGAAAACTGGACCTCTGCAGAACCTTCCGCGGTCATGTTGAAGCCCCCTATACATATCCATGGCAACTGTAGAGCTCGGAGAAACCCTCCGAGTCGGTGAAGCCGTTGAAGGTTGGCTGCTCGCATACCAATCGTGGGGTGCCCATATACCATCACAAGCACCACTGAATATGACCGGAAATCCACAACCACAGGTAAGAATCCGTCGTATGCGGAGTGACCATCTGCACATAGGTCAGGCACCTCCTCCGCTGGGGTCGGGAACCGATGAACTTGGAGATGTTGGCGAAAAAGAAGGACTTCACCTCCTTCGTTGGCGCGGTCGCGCTGGGCCTCGGTTCTACCAAGACCTGTGCTCCTCGCCAGATTGTAAACATGCTTGAGCTTGAGCGAACTGAATTTGGTAGCCTACATCTTGCTCAACGAATCCCCGATGTGCGTTTCAACTAACCCAAAACATCGATTGAATTGTCCGACGTGTCCGACACCAGCGACTGGATATGCCCCCACGCTTTCTTTCCCAGACAAGTGCAGTTCGAGAAAAAGAGCGCGCTGCAATCACCAGTGCCACTGTCATCATCTGAATGCACTACGCCAGCTGACACTGTGCCACACCCCTGCGAAGAACTCGCACCTGTGAGCTGACCAGTAGTCGTTGCTGTCGCCGATGTTGAAGAGGCCGAGCACGTGACTGTACTCGCTGCAATGCCACCTCCTGGACTGAGGCAGCTGTCCGACGCGGCGCCTCCGCCCGCAGGGCTAGGCGCCGCGCTCGACCTTCACGACGCGGCCGCGGCGACCGTCGCCGCCGCCACCTGCTTCGCCGCCTCGGTCCCCGCGAGCTTGGCGTCGCTGAGCTGCTTGGCCCTAGCTGCTAGGGCCTCGTCTGAGAGGCCGCCACTGCTGCTGCTGCCTGGCGTCGGCGCCGCGCCCGCGGCCGCCGCGTGCTCGGCGCCCCCAGCCGCCGCCTGCCCAGCACTGCCAGCGCCGCCCGCCGCAGCGCCGTCGCTCGCCCTCCTCTTCTTCTGCATCCTGTCCTGGATGGCCGCCTTCATGGCCTTGGTCCGCTCGACCCAGTCCTTCACCTCCGCCGACCTCGTGGCCATGACGGACTGCACGTCGCGCAGCTGCTTCTCCAGCTCCGCGAACTCCTTCTGCTCGCTCTCCTCGCACTCTAACTCCTTGGTGGACGCGAAGAAGGCCTCGTCGACCTCCACGCGGAAACACTCGCCATTGGAAGCTTGGTCGCGACCCACCTTACCCTCACCCTGCGCCTGCACTTGCAGGCCCGAAGCGTTGGCGAGGGCTTTGATGGCAACCTGCTCGTTGAACTCCGCCTGGGCCAGCGTGCGCGCGCACTCGTTCTCGCGCGCCTCGGCCTTGGCTAATGCTGCTCTGCACAGTAGTACTTGATCCACTGCTTGGGTGTGCTTCGCCTCGGCGTCCTTCCAGGCGCCCGAAAGCCTTGCGCACCGCCTCGTCTGCAGTCACCTGCGTCTCTGTGGGCTTCTGCGCGGCGAGGACTGCTTGTTGGGTCTCTAATACTCTCTTGACCATCGGGTCGCTGGTAGCTGCGATGGTCTGACTGAGCAAATCAATTGCTCCTCCACCACCAGGACCCGCGGGTTGCCCACCTTTCTTGTCATTGCCTTTGTTCTTCGGGCCAGGCTGGAACAGGACAACATCTGTGGGCATGGACTGACCGTTGCTCTTTGGCTTGTGCAACTTGGCTGGTCCCCCGCACTTCCTGCATATGCCACCCTCCTGCACTAATACGTCATTCCATTGATGCGTGTGACACCCAACGCATGTGCTCCAGAGTCGGCGTCCTGCAGGGGCGGCAGACATCCCTGCTTTGCTGCCGCGACCGCCTACGCTCAGGGCGTGGGAGGCGGGGCAGACCCCAAGCACATCGGGACGGCGCGGGGGCTGGCCGAGTGGGAGCGCGCAAAATGCGAGGAGAGCCCTGTGCCATCCCTGCAACCGCTCGTGCCAGTGTTGCTTGAGGGAGGAGGAGGAGGAGGAGGAGGAGGAGCAGAAGGAGGAGGAGGAGGAGGAGGAGTCCGTAGCCATTTTTGGCTCGAGGCTCGCTGGAGGTGGTCCAACACCTGGTGTGTCAAGATAGCGGCAGCACCTGTCAAGGCTTCTCTACTTCTTTCTCCAGCGCCGCAGGCCATGGCTTCTCTTTTGATGGAGCTCCACGGCGAAGTGCTTCGCAGTGCTTGCGAGGTACTCGGGCAACACCACGAAGGGTTTGCGCAAGCAGCGCCGGCCGCGCGGCGCAGCAATCCTCTTGCAGCCGCTGGGGTCAGTCCGCCCGACCCGACCCGACCCGCCCGTTGAAGCCCGCCCATTTGACCCGACCCGCACCTTGGGTTTCGCTCGACTACACGCAAGAGTGACCCTGGGCAAGAGTGGCCTTTGGTGCGCGGCTCTTTGGGGGCCGCGGGGGGACCAAACGCCAACGCGCAAGACGCTACTACCGCATCGCGTTCGGCGATTGGGGGGGCCCGATTGGGCTCGCACTAAATGTCACTCCGGCGAAGGGTCACTCTTACGTCTAGTCGATTCGCGTATGCTAATTCGATGACGCGTCACACTTTAATGTCCCGTCTGCCAAACCCGGTCCGCCCGCCCGACACGACCCGCTCAGTATAGGGTCCGCTCGCCTGCTCCCCCTCCTCCTCTGGATCCTCCACGTGCGCGAAGCGAGTCCCGGCGAAACAAGCCCCGTCTCAACGAGCCCGGCGAAACAAGCGACGGCAAACGAACCCCGGCGAAGCGAGCCCCGGCGAAACGAGCCCCGGCGAACCGAGCCCCGACGGAACGAGCCCTGGCGAGCCGAGCCCCGGCGAATCGAGTCCCAGCGAACCGAGCTGGGCGAATCGAGTTGGGCGAGGCGAATCAAGCCCTGGCGAACTAAACCCCTGCGAACCGAGACTCCGGCGAAACGTGTCCGTGCCGCTCTGCCGTCTCCGCGGCTGTACCCCCGGGGTCCCCCATCGCCTCCCCCCCTCTCGCTCGCCCCTGCTTGATCGCCGAATCGCATCCAAGGGACCACACTGGTCGGCCACCGCCGTGACGGCGCGAGCTGTCTAGCGAATGATCTACGTAAGATGACTCATTCGGCATTCCCACTGCGTACGCCCAGGTTCGAACATCCCAAAGGCCATGCCAGCCCTGCCAGAACCATCGTGTCACCGCAACGGGGACGTTCATCGCATCCCCTCCCCCCATTCCTCTCTTGTCGTTTTTCCTCCCTTGCCTCCACCCTCTTCCTCCTTGGCGCCGGGAGGTATCGTCCCACCCGAGGGGCGACGGTCTCGCTGGCCGCAGCCGCCAGCCAGACGTGGAGCCGCCGAATCAAGCCGCACACCGAGTTTTTGATGGGGGATGGCCTGATGGCTTAGGAGATGGAGCAAGACGGGGGACGGAAGATCTTCATTTCTCTTGTGCGTCTTCCCCCCCCCCCCCCCAGCGACGAACCCCGCCGGGGGGGGGGAGACAGCGTCTGACAGACACTCATGCCACCATCCGTGGATCCATAGGAGGAGGAGGAGGAGGAGGAGGAGGAGGAGGAGGAGGAGGAGGAGGAGGAGGAACAAGACGAACGATCGAACCAACAAACCTCGGAGCTCCGCTGAGTCGACCACACACGAGCCTGGAGGAGGAGGAGGAGTAGGAGGAATAATAGTAATACGAATAAGAAGAAGACGAAGAGCATCGGATAGAACGTAGGAAGGCGCTCATGTGTTACAGGTGAGCAGCAGCGGCGGCAACGCCTTCACCCCAGCAACGCCCATGCGACTTACATGGATGTTCAAACCCTCAAGCCTGCCTCGGGCGCCCCCCCTGATTACCTGTGAGGGGGGGTTGTGTCTCGGGCAGTAGCTCGCAGATCTATTGTCGGGGGCGGGGCTGGTGCAAGGGGTCTCCTTGGGCCCGAGCCCCGTCCACCAGGAACACGGCTTAGGCAGACTCGAACGAAGGCGACGCGACGCCGACGCGTAGACGAGGCCCTCCCCCAAATCGTCCCTCCAACTCCTGCATCCTCCTTTCCATATCTGTGCGCAAGGCAAGCCACTTGTGAACTTGTCTAAAGCAATGCGTAAGGCCGTGTCTGTCGAGCCGTGGTCGCCTGTCTCTCTTGACTGATACTAAGCTGTGCCCTGTCGTGGCAAGAAGGGTCATGGCCACAGGCAGGTGATCGACGTTTCGTCAAGCCCTCGCGAGGTGCAGCCTCTTGGCCGCTGTGTGGCGGAGGGTACGCCAATGGGAGGGCCGCCGGCGGCATTGCAAGCTGAGTGGTCTTGCTCGTGGACCCTTAGTGTCACGTCCGGCAGTATGCGTGTGTTGCCGTAGTTGCCAGCTGCATTGCCGTAGATGTACTCAGCCGTTCCATCTGGGGCTCTGTGCAATCCAAGCTGGCTGTTCATTTCCCCTCCCTGTAGCGAGCGTGGTGTGACAACCCAGTATGCCAGACGACTCTTCTGCCCACTTCGCGATGTGCATCTCAATCTCCGTGTGGTGACGCGGATTGCTGGGAACAGTATGCGTGACGACATGAACGAAGTCCACTTCCGCCGAAGATCTCCGGGGCCTCTGCTGCGACTCGTCCGTGCACTTTTGGCGGCGGGTGTACCAGCAGTTCGGAGCTCTCTCTGGGGGATAATCTGCGAACTGATTTCGGTTGTGCCACATGCCTTCGTCACATGCTTTCCCCTCCGTCCCCCAGGCTGCGACGTTCATTCCTGGAGGAAGCGGGCCTGTAGGTGGGGCATCCTGGCCAGGCCAGATGTTTTCTGCGCCCCCGCAAAATAAAACACCATCCGCCGTGCTCGAAGTTCCTTGCCGATGTCCTCGGGTTTCTGACCGGTGCTGGTCGTCAGTGAGTTATGCGCGACGGTCCTCATTACCAGAATGTGCAACCATGTAAGAGCCACGATGGGTTTCCCATGAACTTCACTTTCGCTTCCCTCCCTCCTCTACCACTGTTGCAGGAATGGTCAGCCCTGAGGCCGCGGTGGTGGAATTCCACACCTCGCGAGAAGGGAGAGGGGAAGGGAGAGGGAGGGAGAGATTGAGGGAGGTAGGGGGGAGGAGGAGAAGGGAGGTATGGAGGAGAAGAGAGAGGGGAAAGAGGACGAGAAGGGAGCGAGGGAGGGAGGAATTGAAGAGAGAAGGAGGGAGAAGAGAGGTAGGGAGGTGGATGAGGTGGATGAGGCAGGATGGGGAAACAGGCAAGGAGGAAGGGCCTGGCTCACGTCACGTCGCAGTTCCCGGCGCTCCTTTGACGCCTGCGTGACAGACACCCTCAACTCCTTTGGGGGGCGGCCGAAACCACGCTCGGCCTTTTCTCTATCACCCTTCTCGAACTCACGTCGCCTTCTCCTCCACCTCTCTTTCCCCACATTTTTTCAATAACAGGTCTCCAGAATTTCGACACTTTCTCCAAGGCCTGTGTTTCATCCCGAATCGTTTTTCGATCGTCCCGGGGCCCGGCGAAGGCCCACGGAGGCCGAAAACAACCCACAACCTTCGCCATGATTGTTCCATGACGCGAGCTTGTGGCGGGTCACGGGAACCCTGAAACCCGAAAACGTTGCCATCTCTTTGGCGCGCATCTCTTACTTCCGCCGGCCTTCCGCCAGCGGGGTCGCGCCCGTTTTTTCACCGCCACCTTCCGCCGAACGAGAGATGGCAACCCCCTCGACCCTGGACGAGGCCCTTTCTGGAACGCCTCATGTATGGGCAGGCCCTCGATGCAGGCCAGGAGGCCGCCGCGGGTCCTGCAGGAACTCCCCGCTCGAGGGAGGTCCCCCGGTCGCGCCTGCGCCGGCGGGGCGCGACGGGCCGTCCCCTCCCAGAGGCCCATGCCAAAGAGGGTCATCACTGAGCGCTCATCGCTCGGAAGAGCGGTGGGGGACTGGGAGCGAAATGCCTCGAGGTCCAAGGATTGCTCGTGTCTTCCTGAGTTCTCGGCGGTTTTCTGGCCCCGCGATGCTCTCCAGCAGCTGTGCCTCGCCGAGAGCGCTCCCGTGGTGCCAAGATCGTCGAGAACGGCCGCCGCATGCCCGAGCTATAGGACAGAGGCAGAGGACCTCTATGAAGGGGCCCAGGAACACACACACACACACACACGCACACGCGCACACTCACACACTCACACACACACACATACCCACGCACGCACGCACGCACGCACGCACGCACGCACGCACGCACGCACGCACGCACGCACGCACGCACGCACGCACGCACGCACGCACACACACACACACACACACACACACACACACACACACACACACACACACACACACACACACACACACACACACACACACACACACACACACACACACACACACACACACACACACACACACACACACGCACACATGCACACACGCGCGCACGCGCGCACGCGCGCACGCGCACACGCGCACACGCGCACACGCGCACGCGCACACGCACACGCACAGACGCACAGACGCACAGACGCACAGACGCACACGCAAACGCACACAAACGCACACACACACACACGAACAAAAACACACAAGCACGAACCCCCAAACCCAA